GGTTTCCCTTTTTTGATTTAGGTCAATTCCTAAAAATACAAGGTCCTAAAACGTGGGTTGAAAGCCCCTTCTGTGAAAGCCTGTCTTAACTGAGAATATTAAGAAGGAAGATAGTACTCTGTGTGTGTGTGTGTGTGTGTGTGTGCGCGCGCGCACACGCTCGTGTGTATATGCATAGCTTCATCTATAGCTACATTTCATTGATATGTAATTTTAGATCTAGATAAAGCCCTCAGATTTTGCACTTTTTTTTAAATAACTGAGTACACTTCAGATGATTAATTTGTAAAAAAAAAAATGTCTTGAATAAAGAGTTACATGACAGAACTCTATTTCTTTCCCTCAGAGGAAGAGGTCCATGGCTTGTCTGGTAATTCCACTGTTTAACTCCTAAGAGGAAGTACATAAGAATATAAACCTTTAATTTTGGTAGTATTTGTTCGTGTGTACGTGCATGTGTGTGTGCACGCCTGTGTTTACACTTTGTATCCTTTATGCAGATTAGATATGTATAGTCCTGAACTGAGGGTTTTTTTTTTCATTGAGTTTATCTCAATGCTCTGCGTGTCCTACTCAGTTTATCTGGTCTTCTTGTCTAATCTCTGGAGACAGTCCTCTGCATAACACCAATACTGAGGTTTAATTTTAATGTAATAACTGAATTGAAGATGTGACTAGTCCAGATGACCTTTTTCTTTCATCACTTTCACTTCAATTGACAAATGAATATGAGCCTGGGTGGTTGTTCTTGGCCTTCAAAAAATACATTATACCTTTCTGAACATTTTTCTCAAAACGGAGTTCATCTGCCAGGCGCCATAATTAGATGAATGTTCTTTCCAGTACCGCTCCTCTGAAGCAGTTTAACAATTAGTTGATTTAGGAATTGGAAATATTTCCATTCTATCATTTTCTGCAGGATTTGTTCCTAAATTGGAGAAGTCTGTATTTATCCGATTAGCTCAAGCATAAAACAAAGGGAAACTTTCAAAGACTTGATTGTGAATTGTTTTTGTGGTTTATTTTTTGCTTAAAGTTTTATAAGAAAAACGTTATGTTTGAACAAAATTAAGTTTATATACATTTTTCAAATGGCTGAAAATTTTTATACTGGGTGAGTAAGTGAGTATTTTTCTAACATTTTTACTAATTATTAGATGATGAAATATTGTATAATTATGTAAAAGTGCTTGACTGTCCATGTATTGGAATATATTCATTTTGCCAGAGATTATTATAATCAGGCTTACAGGTATTTCTGACAATCCAATTTTGTTGATATTTTGAAAAAGACTTTAGCATACAAGTTATGATTCTTTCAAGTACAGCTGTTTTAGTGTTTATCATCAACAAATGTTATTAATAATTATTGTTACTCAATTTTAATCCCCTCTGGTTTACATAGAATTATATACAACTGTACATTTTCCAAGAAATTAGAATTGTTTTATTTAGTGATATAAGGCATTAGTTCAGACAAATTTTATTTCAAGTCAAAAAGATTAATCACTTGCATTATAGCTAATATATTCTTGCCTCTGGGAAAGAACCGACATATTTCCCATGAGCTGAACTAGTCATAATGTGTCTGTGGATTTCTTACTATTGCTGTTTTCACTTCCCATAATAGAATGAATTAAAAAATAGGAACACTTCTTAAAAGCTTTCTTTCTGGTTCTACTTATAAAACATACTCATTGCAAGAAATTAGGAAAACTCAGAAATACATAATGAAAAAAAACAGGATAATTTGTACATTCTGGTATACCTTCTTCTATTTTTTATCTGTGTATATATGAACTTATATTTTAATCAGAATTGTTATTGCACCATATATACATTTCCTTGCCTATTGTTTTCTCTGAACAATATATTGCAGGTAACCACTTGTTCAGTTTTGTACAGGTATGAATCAAACAGGCATGTATGTCCTGTGCTTTCATGGAGCTTACTGTCTAGTGAGGGAAATACAAAACAAATAGAAGTATAATTTCAAAATACAAATTTTATGAAGGAAAAAAACCCAGGTGCTATGAAGGAGGATAATTTTAGGGATGGTGTGCTAATTTTAGAGGGGATGTACAGAGCCGGAATGCTGACATTTAAATTTAAGCAGAGGCTTAAAAAGGATGAAACAAAGTCAGCTATGCGAGAATGGGGTTAAGAGAATTCCAAGAAGAAGAAATAACAGATGCAAAGGCCAAAAGATGAGAAGTGCTTGTTGTGTAAAGCTATCTACAAAAAAGAGCAGCTGTCTGCAGCAGAGAGAAAGGGGGTACTGGTCCGTGATGAAGCTCAAGAGGTAGACAGGGGCCTGGTCCTCTGGGCCAAAGAAAAGAGACTTTTGTCTTTGAACTACTATGGGAAGCCGTTTTAAGACTTTTCAGGTGGTGAAATGGCATGACTGTGTTTACACTTTTCTGGATGACAGATCAAAGATTAGCCTGGATGGAATGAAAGGCAGAATAAGGGTGAGCAGAGACGTGAGTTACGAAGCCCTTGAGGTTGACCATGAGAAAGGTGAGAAAACGTGAACTGAGCTGATGAGAGGAGACACGGAGAGAAGTAGACAGCTGTGAGGTGTGTTTTGGAGTTGGACTTGACGTCTGTGAGGTTGAGAGGGGTAGGGTTGCTGGGTTACAAAGGAGTTGAAGAGTATGACTTGCATTTGCGGCCTAAGGTGTTGAGTGGATGGTGGGCTCAGTTACGGACGAGGGGCAGGCTTGATAAGGACCCAGAATTGGGGCGGTGGTTTTGGTGTACAGCATTTAAAGTTTAGGTGATGATTCTGAAGGGCCTGTAAGGCAGCTGCATGTATAAGCCAAGAAGACAGTTGTATTCATGAGTCGGTACTTGGAAGGGAGTCTGGGTTGAGGATATATTTTTGGAATTTATCATCATATAGGTGGGATTTAAAGCCAAAGGAACAGATGAAATAACTTAATGGAAGAGTGAAGACAGACAGAGGATGAGGGTCTAGAACTGTGCTCTGACAATGCCGGAGAATGTAAGAGGAGAACAGAGAGAAGGTGGGATCAAAAAGCCGGAGAAGCTGCTGAGCAGCCCAGCGGGAGGGAGGGCACAGACTGGCTGCTGCATTTAGCAATGTGCAGGTCACTGCTGAGATCATCAGAAGCAATTTCAGGGCTGTGTGTTGGAGGGCGTATTGTAATAGACATTCATAATTTATAGGTGATTAGCTAAATTTTAATGACTGCATATTATCTTCACTTGAGACAGCAGACCTCACTGAGCCGCCTATACTGGTGGGAAGCCGGTGTTCCCTAAGAAACAAGCCTGTGGATGTTTCCATGGCTCATAGGCCCTGGGGAATTGCAGGCTTGCACCTCCATGGGGCTGACCCTGGGGATTGCACTCTGTTCTCTTCCCTCTAAATGTGAGTTTGGGTTACAGTCCACACGAGGGTGCTGGAGAATGTGATGGTAGCTCAGTTTCTGAGAATACTGTGCATTGGCCAGTTAGGAGCTTCCTGGCAGTAGAAGGGCAGGGCTCTCCCTGGTTCAGACTGTGCTAACGGACCTCTGCTTTGCCCTGCTGGGGTGCGTGAGCACTGCCAGCCTCTGGCTCCTGGGCATGCTCTCATTCCCATTCCTTTAAAGTTAGAAACCATGGATAGGTTCATTTCGGTATGTTCTCAGTTTCGTTCTGAAATAAAGGGGAGTCCTAGAAAGAATGTAGATTTTGTAGCCCAAGTGACTTATGTTGGGACCTTCTGCCTCAATTTTCTCACCTATAAAATGGGACTAGTAATACCTACTTTTCAGAGTTATGGTTCAAGTTTATTGTGTGAAAATGGCTTAGAACCAAGTACTCAGTAAATGGTGCCTGTAAGTATTATTGTTCAAAGTAAATGTTCAGTATTTTGGAAATGTTAATTAGTTGCCTGGGTGATGGTCTGTCTATATATTGGTCTGTGAAATAAAACATTGTCCAGCACATAAGCCTCTGCAAACTAGTTCTTTCCTGGATGATTAGTTAGTAATAGCCATAGTCTATTCTTTGTCATCAATATTTTATACCATAGTGTTATTATCAAAATCTATATAAGTGTGACCTTCACTTCTTAGTGAATTAGCACAGTTCTCTTATTCCTATTAAAAAGATAGGAAAGTATTTCCTTAAACGTTAATAAAAGTTGGTTCTCTGATAAGAGAGCATGCATAATGCTGTTCAGAATCAAAGGTTAAAAAATCCCCTCATTAGAATTCCATGGCGGTAGGAGGGTAAGAATGGCAGCCAAATACAAAAAAGAGATGTAAAGCTTGTATTTCTGCTCTGTCTTTGGAAGCAGTGCCAGAAGGCCTTGAAAGGGAGGGAGGACTGGACGTGGAGCTTCTTGGTTTCCACTTACTTCCCCTAAAAATGGAGACACTTATTTCTTCCAAACAGAAGTGCGGTTCACCAGCTTAACATGTGAGAATCGCAGGTCCCATTTTGGTTATCTAGATATAAAAGGAATGAAAACAAAACAATAACAAATGATTGAAGTGTATAATAGGTTCTAAGAAAGCTCTCCCCAAAAACATGGCTAATGAACGCTTTTACGTAGAGGTCTGCTTGATGAGGAAAGCTTTGACTCTTACCGTAAGTCCATGTGTTCCTTGCCCTAGTTACACACCGTTTACAAAAAATATTTATGATGAATTTAAACTTAGGAGAGAAATAACTTATTTTGACTAGAAAGGGACTTGGCTTTCCAGGAGAGAGACAAGGGGAAGGAAATGTTATGGCTTGTTATATGAATTTTCAGAAGCTGCTTTTCAAATAATTTGAATGAACTCAGCGTTCATCTGATTTCTCTGAGTGAAGAAGAGGCAATGATTTGATCTGTAGAAACATTTCTGAAGGGCTTTATTTTGTCAAGGCATTTGGGTACTTATTGCTTATGTCTTCAAGGAGGTATATCAACACGAAGAGCTCTGCTGTAAAAAGTAACCGAGCAAGACTTGATTTTAACCCCTCTCTCTCTTTCTCAACAGTTTGGAAGGACTGAAGTGATCGATAATACTTTAAATCCTGATTTTGTAAGAAAATTTATTCTAGACTACTTTTTTGAAGAGAGAGAGAATCTTCGATTTGACTTGTAAGTTCTGGTAAAGCTTACATTTTCAAAAAAAATTCATTTTTATATGCAGTTTTCATCACGTAAGGCGAGGTCCTATGGTTATGCTGAAGGCTAGATTCTCTTGGCCGGAAACCTAAGGTTAATTCTGTTAATCTGAGCACTGTGCCCATTACTGCTTTGCATTTTATGGCTGTATATTTTTTTGGCTGTTTTTGGCTATATGTTTATTGAAAAATTAAGTGGACAATTTAACCATGTAGAAACGCTTTCAAACCATCCTATGCTTCAATAGGTTTCTTACAAATTCTGGGTATACTCCAAGGTGATCTCATCTCTTCCCATGGCATTACCCAAATCTGTTAAGTTTCTCTCAGCTTCTTTGTATAATACATGGATCTCTAACAGTGGCTTCCTTTTATCTCTTCATGGTCTCATATTTCCAAGACCCAGAATATGAGAACCAGAAATTTTGATATTTTTAATGTTCTTGTTAATTTTGATGCTGAATCAGACATATTAAAATGTTATCATAAATTCAACTCCCTATTCACAGGGAATCTAGGGTCTGTCTGTTTATAAGATATTATTAATTATTGAGTTTTTGTTCCACAGAGGTAAACTGTGGTGATTGTTGAAGTATCTGTATATTGCTAAATGAAAATTGAGGATGAAAAGCATAATACCTATTCGAGTATATGCTAATAGACCAAAATAATTGAAGAGAGTTTGTGAACATTACAAGTATTTAAAGATACAAACAGCTTATTTTAAGCAGCTGAAAACAATACAGTATACCTTGCTGTCACAATTTATGAATATTTTTGATAACAAAAGCTCTCAATAGCTTACTTGAAAAAGTCATAATTTGCCTCCTAATGTAAAAAAATTTTCTACCATTAATAGTTTTTCTATTAAACTGTGTAGTAAAATAATGGCACTGCTTTTGTTTAAAAAAGAAGAATCTTACTCCAGTCCCTTTCCTCCAAGAGTTATGGGAGTTTTAAGTATTCATTATAGTTATCAAACAAAATTTATTATGCCCCATTTTGTTTCGCTTCCTTGAAACCCCTTTCTAAATAAAAATGAGGCTCATGAGAAAAGCTTGAAGCAGAATGTAATGATTTTCTGACCACATTCATCATGAAGATTGCACATAGCCTGGTACGTGCAAACAGACCTTTAAATCATGTAGAATGTGGCTTCATTTTCCCATTGTTTAGGGTGGTCAGAGCGATTGTTTTTAAGAACTTTCCTTTCTCACACTGATACGGTACTTGCCTAATTTTCTTCCTCTGGCTTTAGACTTAACTTCATCCTAAAACCAGCCATGATTCTTTGTTCTCTTTCTCCCTCCCTTTCTCAGTTATCTGTATTGTTTTCTCTCATTTAAAAGTTATAAATATTCGTTATAAGCTTTAAATACAGGCATTTAAAAGTGAAAGTTCCCCAGTTATTCCAATACCCAAAAAAATCATCAACCAAAACTGTAAATGACTCACTTGCAGATTCTTTTTAAGATATACGTGCATATGGGAATCCCAATATTTTGAAAATCTCAAATATTTTCCTGTTAGTTTTATTTTTCAGCTATCTTCCTATGCCATTAATGAAATATTTATTCATTTTGGTGGCTGCATAATTTTCATTGTTTGAAAAAAACAATTTATTTAGTCAAACACTTACTAATGGACATTGTGGCTTATTCTGTTTTTACTATTACATATACTTCTGCAGTGAGTATCCTTATATGAAAATTATTTATGAATATACTTTTTTCTTTTTGAATTTTCAGAATATGTATTACTCAGAGTCAGATTTTAGGATGAAAGGTTAGGGCAAGCCTACTCCCTGCTTGGTTCTAACCTTTGACACCGACTGAGCGATTCTCAATGCTGAGTTCTCTGAACTCCTTCTTAGTATTTTGGCTCTGAATTTTAGAAGCATTTCTCTGTTTTGTTCTGGTTGCTCTCTGTCCCCAGACCCCTGCTACCTGAGTGGCTGCTGCCGGGTGACCGTACTTATCCCCTTTCCCACACTGTTGTCTTTTGTCTGACTCGCTCTGTACCGGTCGGTTCAAGTCCATATCCTGCTTGTCATTCTTCACTCGGTATTCATAACTGTGGCTACTGTAAACTTGCACAAGTGGGCTGAACATAAAGGAAATGGTGCTCTCAAAAGCATGATAGCAATCAAAGGCCTGTCAATAGACCAGTGAGCAAAAATTAAGAGCTGGCAAGTCATTCGGAAGAGAAGGTAATGAACGACTCACATAGGAGCTCGTGATACTTACTCATCTTTAGTGACAATGAGCCTATGGAAGCTGATGGATTTTAAAGATCTTCCAGTGCAGCAAATGTAATTCCATTCCAGTAATTATGTCTATCTTCCCAAATACCATTCTACGAATCACAGTGAGTCCAAATGAGACTATTTTATGTTGGGAGGTGTCTGATGCGTATTTCATGTCAAGCTTACTAGGTATGCGTAGCATGGACAAGAGAAGACGTAAAGTAGAAAAGAAGCCAGGGCACCAATAGTACTCAACTTACTACTTAGTATTTGATGATAAATCAATAATATTGTTTAACTGCACTGTATGTGTTTCAGAGAATGAGGAAAACAACAACTAAACTTCAATATACTTACTGGTGAGAATATGGAAGAAAGGAACAATTAGACGGTTTAATGTTTGTTACTAACATCTTCCAGTTATTTACACACTAAATGAAATTATTATAGAAGTTCATGAAGTTTGAGAGTTACTGCTATATAAATTTTGTAAGCCTAGATAAAAAGGATTTGAGATTCGAATATTACTATTGCTATTCGCAGTTTTTGATGGAATCATTGACATTTGTTACTGTATTGAGCCCACCCAAGAGATTTATTTTTATAAATGAGAAAATTGAGACCCAGAAAGTATAACTAATATGTTCAAGGAAACTGTGTTCTCCAAAGTTGAGTTAAATTTTGACTGAAATAGCTTATAACTCAATGGTAGAAATCCTGACTATCTAAAATTTTATGAAGATTAAAAATAATGCCTAAACCTGAGTATTTTTATTTTTGCCTTGGGTATCTAATATCGATGATAAAAGTATGTATTTGAAATACTCTGCTGTGCATTGAATATAATAATATAATGAAATATATTTAATCTAAGCAAAAGTAAGAATATCTAGGGAATTATTGTGTTTGATTGGAATGGGAACATGTATTACTTTAGCTCAGTGTGATGAGAGAAACTAAGAGAAATTAGTGTGAGAGAAACTAAGAGAAATTAGTGTAAGTGACTTGATGCATGTTAACTTCTTCAGCTTTATCTCTTTTTCTAAACATTATAGTTGTTCTCACAGAAATTACATTATGTTCAAAATGTGAAACCATACTGTGAAATTGAATTGAATAAGTATCATTTTACCTTTTGAATAAATTGGGTTAATTTCAGAAATTGATTCAATTAACATTATTTCAATTTTGTGTGACCTTTGAAAGATTCAAGCCATTAAGGCCAGAAAAAGGGATACCTAGAGAAGATTATCAAGAAAAACAACACGCGTATTCTCTTAGCTCATGTGGTGTTTTGGACACCACTTTAATTCCTTTGATATCCTTTTATTAGAACGTCTCACATAACACTTCTAACCTGGAAGAGATGGCTTTCTTTTCTCTTTTACGTTATAATTTTCCAGCATATCTACCTAAGTAACTGTGGAAAATGGTACAGTTCTTCACTATTATATGTATCTATTTATCCCTTCTACATAACTATGACTGGTTTTTAAATTGTGTTAGCAATGTGTTATTCCTTAGGAAAAAATGTTCATTTTAGAATATTAGAAAATAAAAAAAGGGTGGAGTAGGCAATACAACCACCTGTAAAATCAGTCCATCTCACCTAGAAGACTATCGCAAATACTTCATTTATTTACAGTAACACGTTCCTTTGAGGTAATAATCTTGAAGAGTACAGTATTCCAAATTGGCCAACAGATAAATGTAAATGGTTTTTAGAATTGTTTTTTATTTAGGTAATCTGTCCATTGAGTTTACAAAGGTCTAAAAGGCTTTTGTAATATCTAATACATAAAGGAAGCTTTGGAAGTTTATGATCTAAGCAGTTGCGTACTATGGAACGTTTGAGAAACGGCTTTTAGGAGCTTTTTAAATTTAACTCTCAATGCTGATTGGAAATTGTCATGACGGGGAGGGAGCGAGTGGGCCAGGAAATGAATGAGTATGTGTTCCTGGCCCCACGGGCTCAAACTCCTGTACATTCTGATTAATCCACAGGAATTATTGTTGTTGCTGTGATATGCCTGAGATATGTTTTTAAGAGTAGTTTATCAGCTATGAGTTTTAACATTCTGCCTTTCTAATCTGATGTGTCCTTATTCATTCAAGGAACATGATCTCTGTCATCGTGCAACGTGTGTATCAGATAAAGTCATAAACTTTGGCACTTGCTTATTTTGTTACAATTATCACCCTGGTAATAGTATAGGTACCTCGCCCATCATTCTGCTCACAGTCGCAATTGAAAACTTCATCATTGGCAGAACAGCGGTACAAAAACGTCTTTGAGCAGGATGTGTGCATGGCCGTATCACTACCAAAGGTGTGCTGGAGAATAGGGGAAATGAGATCATAAGCCTTTTCACTCCAGTTTTTCTACTTAGACCAGAACACCAAGAAGGCAGTTATAAGCCTAGGTTTGACTTACCTAGCAAATTATTTTCCTTTTCAATAAACCAAAGATGATAATTGTGAAATGTATAATGTCATTAAAATTTATTTTTGAACCATCTCAATCCTTGGGGGGAAAAGAAGCCAGCACAGTTATTTCTCACCTCTGCTGTTCATCTCCCCATTGGGTAAGGGCTTCCTTCGCATTGTCCAGTGCCCATTTCTTTTGTTTATTAGATGCGTCTCATTGTTACTAGTAGGTACTCTTCACTTTAAAACTTGAATCTCAAACTTAACTCAAAGCTCTTCACTTCCTCTCCCTTCATTTGGAGCTATTGTCTCAGCTGCTCACCGGAGAGAAGGAGGTGTAGGAGTTGGGAGGGGGAGGGGGTGTCTTAGTGGGCACCAGCCTCAGTGGACACGGAGCAGGCACCGCGCTTGTCTCGCTCGTTGCCGAGGGAGGACTGCAGGTGACATTGCTCCTGTCCCTCCGCTCTCACAAGGCACTGCCTAGGACCGTCATCATACGGCCTCCTCTGCGGGCAGCGCAGAGTGGGCCTGCAGGCAGGCTCTGTGGCTCAGGCACCTGGTTAGGGAAGCTGGTGCTGGCCTCCCTTCAGGCGCCTCAGATTTGGGGGGGGCTCCCCTCCACTTGGCTTTGGGGATGGGAAGGATCCTCCTCCCGCCCCTCAGGAGGTGGGGAACAGCCTGTCTCCTTGTGAGCAGGCTTTGTGGAGAAGGTCTGGCCCTCGTGAGAGTGACTGGTTGGCAGCTCTGAACTAGACATGAGGTAGGGGTACTTGGCGACTTTTTTTTAGCTTTGGGCCTTAGGTGGAATTCTAGAAAAACAGGGAAAATTCCAGTCGCTATCTGTAATCCTCTAATAGAAAACATAGTTTTTAGGATCCACCCAAGTCAGTTACTACCGATTTAGTACTCTAGCAATAAGACTTCAACAGCAGGATGAAGTCATTGACACAATTGCCAGTAGGATATTTAGACACAGTGGGTTGTACCTTCCTAGGAGGAAGCTGCTGAGCCTCCTGTGTTTCTCTCTCTCTCACACACACACACACACACACACACACACACACACACACACTTTAAACCGTTTAGGATGTAGATACAGTGTTTATGTCCGACCTGTGAGGGTGAGGAGCAGAATAGTCTTGATAGTTTTAGAAGAGTTAGAGGGGAAATTCCATTAAAAGAAAGGCCATGGTAATTTCAAAGGTGTTATAATCCCACATACTACCTAAAGCCTGCCCAAGTAGGCTGTAAATTACCCCTTTTTAAGGTAACAGTATTAGAAAGCCTTGTAAGGGAAATGCGTTTGAAGATACTTACACTCTTTGTGATGAGAACAAATTCTTCCCTTTTTGCTTCTTTTAGCAGAAATGAACATATCGCGTTGTTTCTGCCCCACTCACACCACACCCTGGATAGGAAACCGTTTCCAGGACTGACGCCTGGGAAGGAGCTGCCACTTACTTTTCACCTTTGCATTGGCTATAGCTGCTCATTTCAAGCTTACACTTAACAAAATGTTAGCTTGATCAAGACAAAATTCTTGCATAAAAATATATATTTTTTGTACTAACATCTGTAGGTTTTCAGGAGATGCTGGCACTTGCTGACTTAAAATTCTAGGTTGCCTCTGTTGACGGTGATCAGAGCACCGATGTGCAGGAGTGTCACGTGTGCACCTGAGGCAGGTGTCTGTCTCCTCACACAGTTTTAAAGCCAGCTCATGGCGAACGCTCTTTGCTAGGGAGTAAGTGGACCTCTGCCTGGCATCCCGACTCCCGGGGAACTCGTTGCCTTGTATTGACGGAGATGCTTTGTTTCGTTTTGAAAACATTCTTATGTGAGAGCGAAGATTTTAACCTTAAAAAAAAAAAAACAGTTAATTTTCAGTAGGGAGCTCTTCCCAAGGAAGGTGAGAGAACTGAGACTTGGGCAAAAAGCTGGAGCCAGTACAAATATTTTCCTATTCAAGAATGCAGCAAATACAGGTTGTTTTTGACTTTGAGAGATCTTTCCATTTCTACAAATTCTTTAAGGCGAGGGCTAAAGCAGCAGGGAGAGCTCTGTTGTTTTTTTCATGATCTCTCTAAGAAACCATTTATTTCCAGTAGCAACTGGTCAAAAACAGGACAGACAGCAGTCTTATATAAATACATTTCTCTTCCTGTAAAATACACAGGTTCCCCAGTCCTGTGATTGAGGAAAAAAATAATGTCTTGTTATTTTAGCCAAATTTCAAAGTTGACAATAGCATTTAATATATTCAATAAGAATTAAAAAGTACACGAATGGCAGCCTGTTACCAGCACCTGTTAATTTTTTAATGGTGTCCAGAGAAGAGGAATTGCATTTGTTGGGGAATTTTGAACAGAATTAGGATACTGTTGATTCACAGGAAGGAGAAATTTTAAGCTTGCCTTATCAAGTAGCAGAACTGATGAGTGTGGAAATATTATGACTTCTACTTACGTTGCAGTAATAAAAGGACTCAGAAATTGCAAAATATACCATTGGCATATGGACCACAGATTCTGAGAAACTTCTGAATTTGTTAAGGTTTTCCCCCCATTAGCACAATTTTGATTTATTTATATGTTATTTATGTTTTTTGGAAAATACTGATATTTTTCTCTAGTTGTATTTTGTAGAACTAATTTGAATTTTATATTTTAATCTTTTAGGTATGATGTCGACTCAAAAAGCCCCAACCTGTCTAAGCATGTAAGTGCATTTTTTATGTGTTTTACAATGATTGCATAATACAAAGTACAATCATGATTTATGGTTGATATTTACATTGATTTATTAATATTAAAGTTACATGTCCATAAATTTTCCTGTAATGATTGTTATATAAAGTAAATAACATTTTTAAAGGATCCCAGAATAATTTTGGAGGAGCTTATTAAAACAGATACCTTCAGTATGTGAAGAAGATTGATCTTACTTATTTTTTACTTTTGTTTTTTCAAGGAAATGATGTCAGTTCCCTATGATGTCACTTAGAGTCACTCTTCTTTTTGGGTCACTACCCTCCTTCCTACTGCTCACTCCCCTTTTCTCATGAGCTCTACCTACCAGGCAACAGCCTTTCCCTGGGGAGGCTTCCAGGTTCAGGCGATGCAGGGGCATCAGGGCATCAGAATGGGGCAGATGGAGACGCAGAGGTGGGGAGGGAGGGATGGGAGTGGGACTCTCTGGTTAAGCACTGGTGGTCCTGACAGCCTATTCATGGGCCTGAAGGATGGGAATTAGGCCAGGCGGCATCACGGGGGTGCACACAGCATTCTGAAAGAGGTTAAACTCGGTTCTAAGAGAAATCTGAGTACACAGTTGTAGAATTGGCAGCTGTGCCAGAGTTCAGGGGCTCAAGAAGATGAGGTTTTCACCTTTCCATTGTTTGTAGGCTATTAACTAGGTCCATGACATATGTCTATATATGGTTTTCAGTACAGTTTGGTGAGGGGGACGGTCACAATTCAGAGAATAAGGGGGATGCAAGGCTGATCTCCGGCTAAGACACTGATTTGAGGAAACCAGAATCCTGGGTGTGGTGGCAGAAATGGCAATTCACTGCTCCTTTCCTTTGTTGTAAAGAAAGTATGACATTTACCTGTGTTATGAAGCATAGAGCAGAATCGTTTGAAGAAGTAACCCAAGAACAGTCTTTCTGATTGACTTCTCTACAAACTGAAAAAAAAATGCTGTAATAAGTTTATCCCTTGCCATTAAATAACATTTTTGCCCTTGCCCTGCCTTCCAACTCTTCACGGTAAGATTTACATAGCATTGTGGCTGGACATTTAAAACTTATTTACATAGCTTTACATTGGAAATTATCCAAGTTTTATTGGAAGAATCAGAAAAAAACATGCATCTTCTAGTCAGAATTTCTCAGTTGCAGGGAATTAAAATCCCTCTACTTACCTCACATGTAGATGGTTTACTAAAGGATTTAGGAGCATCTCATGAGCATGCCATGTAGCTGGTCCTGATGAGAACTGTTGCTAGGAAACAGGTGTGGTGGGAGGGGCTGAGGATGCGGTGTTCTCTCTCTCTCTCAGTCTCTAAGGCCGCATATTCTGTGTGCTGTGACCCTCCTCTGGGCTGTTTCTCTGAAGGCCAAGTTTCTCTGTTTATTTGCACATATGGAGAATGAGTCCACAACCCAGACTGGACAAAGACTTTCAAATGTCCACTGTCCCTGAATGTAATTTCTGTGCTTTTCAGTTCAAACTATTCTTCAGAGGGCATGATGGCTGGGCAGGTGAGGACATCTTCATGGGGCTGGACGTTCTGAGGATCAGTATGAAGGAAGGTGGTCACGTGGTCTTTACCGATGTGGTTGCCTAGAGTTCAGGGCAGAGAATAGCGTGTGGGATAGGAAGGTACCTCGAGCTCGTTAAGTGTATCCTCCTTAAGTAATCAGGAATGACCCCTATTATATAGGAGATACATCTTCTAGAAGCCATGAATGTACGTATTTTCTCACATATGTTTCTTTTGCAGAATAGCTTATTTTTTTCCTATAAGAGAAGTTCATGTCTCCCTCATGGTAAAAAGTCTTATCTTGACTCAACTCTACACTCAAAATCTTTATAGTATTTCTTTTACTGTCTTCTCATCAGCATACTCCTCCCCAGAACAGCCTGGGATTCTATCACAACTTCCTTTTAATTCTCTCTTCAACTTACTTTACTATATTCTGGTTTCCGTTTCTGCTTAAACTTTTCTGACGTAAGTCAGAACAAAATTTAATGGCCTGTCTTCATTCTTTACCTGACTTGACCTCCTCATTATTTTGGACACAACTGAGTATTTTTGAAATATTCTCTTCCTCTGACTTCCATGAAAACCTCACCCTTGCTTCTCTCTCTACCTCTCTGTTTACTCATAATCTAGCATTTTTTAAGTCTTTCTTCCTCCTCCTAACCCTTAATATTAGTGTTTCTCATGGGCTTACTTTTAATTTGAATCTCATCTCACTGTATAAGCTTTCCTAGGGAGACCTCAATGATTTCCATGCCTTATTGCGGTGACTCCCAAGTGTCTGTCCCTCTGTACACCTCTGGAAATACAGGTTTCCAACTGTGTATTACATACTGCCTGGTGCGTAGTCTGCAGAAGCGGAAATCTCAAATACATTTTACAAAAATGTCTGACTTTTTCCACCCTAATCTTGCTCCTCTGCCTGTATTATCTATCTTGAGATTGTCATCAACACAGTGTACTTAGAACATTCACATGATTTATTAACCTCTTTCTCACACACTTCATCTAGTGAGTTTCCAAATCCTGTTCATTCTAACATAGAATTTTTTCCCTTCTGTCTTCTTTTCCTTTATTGCTGTTACTGCCTCAGTCAGATTATCATTACCTTTCTCCTAAAGTATTTCTGAGGTCCCTATAGTTCCTCTGGTTTATATATCACCTCACATTTCTATGTATTCTTTAGATCACTCTCCGTGTTAGATGCCTTAAATGTACTTAGTGAGCAATACACGTTAGTTAATAAGTGCCTGAGCTTATGAACAGGTGGGCCGTGTCACAAGAGGGAAGCAGCAGTGTTTTTGAATTGTTACAAGAATTGTTAGAGATGACTGCCTTGGATTTCTGTTAGAAATCAACAACAGCAAAGGCCCTTCCTTGTTTGAAAGCATCCAAGTTCAGATTTTAGGCAAAAGAGCCTATAATTCATTCAATCCAAAAGGAATTCAGGAGGCATTTGGGAGATCAGAGGAGCTAGTACATAAGTGAGGTGTAGTGCCTGGGAATACGGTTCTTTAAAAAGTCTACTTGCAACGGGAAGTCGAAACGAGAGCCTTTTAGGAAAGGCTGTCGGGTGCCTGGCTGGCATGTGGGGTGCTGGACTGAATCTATTACAGAAGGGATTTGGTAGCCTGTGAGACTCTCTGAGTTAACAAGAATGCAGTCTTTTTTTTTTTTTTTCCATTCTTACTTCTGATAATTTTGAAAGAAACCCCTCTGAGGGTGACTTTATTTGGTTTCTAGTACTTAAGGATCTTGGGTCAGATTCTTCAATTTTGGTATGATTAGGGAAATGGGGATATAATATAGAACTTACCTTAGATTTCTAACAGTGCAAGTGAGTCCAAGGTGAGTGGGTAAACGGTCAGTGTGATTCTTTTGGCGATAGAAAAGTTTTTATATGGAGAAGCATTGTGCTCCAGGATGAATTTTGGAATCCAGGGTCATATGCTTTTAGCAGATTTATCCATTCGATGAGTTTCTGTGGAAATTACTAAAATACTATCCCCCAAAGTGTCAGATCCTGTGAACAAAATCTGGCATTTTGAATTCCAGCTTTGTTCTCCAAATGGCTGCTGAACCCACTTATCTTCATGCCATTTTCAGAACTATGTAGCATACTTTCATTTGCATAATTTAATTGCATTAGTCAAATCATTAATGAAAAGATTCATAACAGGCCTATAATTGATATAGCTAAGATTCTGCCTTGTGTTCTGGACCAGATGACATCAAAACTGTACTTGGTGTACTAAATTATCATACCCATCAGGCAATCCGAAAGGCATTTATCTATTTGGTTGATCTCAGCAGGTACCCACTAAAATTTTCGATTTAGATGTGTCAATGGCTCACTGGAGTATTTTGGCCACAAAACGCCAGCCTTCAGTGAAGGTGTATATGTTTGCTAAGTATCTTTCGTATAAACTTCCACATGTAGATGAATTATATTTGAAAATTTCATTTGAAAGTTAGTTGTTTGGACCATGAAATGCATTTTCTCATAGGTATAGATTTATAAGTAGGGCAAGATTCTTTCATTAGAATAAAAGCCAATGTAACCCATACTAACAAAACTGAATGTATATTCATACAATCAGGCGAACAATGCATATGTTCCGGGTGGTGCTCCGTGCTGGGGACTGTAACGATCGAAGAGGCAAACAAGATCCCTCTCCTAAAACAGCTTGCATTTTAGAGCTAGGGTGGTGGGATGGGTGGATTTAGTCAGTAAAAACTAAATGCAGGTAAAAGATTCAGATGACTTCTTAATAGCACTTAACATTAATATATTGATACTGAGAGAGAGTAACCGATGAAGCATGTTAGGTAGAGGCTTAGGTTCCCATTGCCAGGCAGCAGCCTTCTATTCCCGTTCTCACCCTGCATATGTTTATTAAAGAGAAGTATGGAAAATTTAGGGGAAAAGCATTCGATCTTGGCCCAGCGGGGCAAAGACCTTGAGTTAGAAAAGGAGTAAGAATGTCGGCATGACTGCGAATCTAGCTGCCGCATACAGAGCGCTGTGAGTGAGGGGGGCCGGGAAACAGTGTGGGAGGCACACAGGATTTAGGAGGTGTTGAGATTTGTAAGCCACCGTTTAAAAAAAATGGTTGGAGGTTTTACCATGTGTTTCATAGAGGATGATGTAATCCGATTTATACATTTAAGTAACAGCAGGCTGCTGAGGTGGAGAAGTGAGTTGGTAAGCGAGATGGAGTTACGGAGACTTTGGAGGGAGTCATTGAGAGGATGTAACCACAGGTTGACCTTGAGCTTGACCTGGGCGGTCAGATGCACCTGACCCCACTCCCCTGTCCCCAGCCCTTGTTTCCATAGCCAGAGCCTTTTAAGGGATACAGCCCTAGGGGAGAAGGGTATTGTTGAGACCCCTTGTTTGGTACACATGGCTGAGGCCAGGTAGGGCCTCTGTCTGAGCTGTAAGATTCCGA